AGAGAGAGAGAGAGAGAGAGAGAGAGAGAGAGAGAGAGAGAGAGAGAGTGAGAGTGTTGCGAGCTTTGTCGTCGTCAGCGTTCCACATGGAAATTGAACTTCTTGTACTTCGACAGGCATAACGCCTCATTTGACCCTCATTGTTGTTTCATTTTCTTTTGTTCTTCCCTATTGTTCATGGTTTTTATTTCGCCCTCCGTGCTTTTTTCCATGGTTGTATGTGCACAAATGATGACCATGGTTTTTATGTGTATGTCACAGTGTGTGTGTGTGTGCATGCTCGCATGTAGCTTTGTCACACATAGATCGATTAATAGATTGGTTCAGTGGTGGATGGGATTTGCCTTACGGGGAAGAGCGACCTCGGTTAATCAATCAATCAATCAATCAATCAATCAGTCAATCAGTCAATCAGTCAATCAATCAATCAGTCAATCAATCAAACAATCAAACAATGAATCCAATCCCGATATTGGAAACAGTACGCACAAACGAAACCCAACGTCACTGATTGATTGATTGATAGGTTGCTTCATGGATTGACCGACGAGGATTGACTGGATTGTTGATTGATTGATTGGTTCATCAAATGATTGATTGATTGGTTCGTTGATTGATTGATCGATTGGTTCGTTGATTCATTGATAGATTGCTTCATGGATTGTTTTATTGATTGATTGATTTTGGCCCACGGGGAAGGGTCAGCCCGATCCCAATAATGGATCAATCAATCAACCATTCATTTAATCAATCAATCAATCTCCCTGGACAATCATAGCTTTTACCAATCAATAAATTTTTTTTGTAAAACAGAAATTATGAGAAATAGAAGATGGAAAAAACAGAGTACAAGTTACGAATTGATGGAACATGCATGTGCATTCGTGTACTTGTGTCATTTTTAAATCATGGACTTCGGAAGTTGTTTGTTTGGGGGACAATTTTTTTTTCCAGTTTTTTTTTTTTTTTTTTTTTTTTTCCCCCTCCGATCATGCATCCTTCTCGTTTCACGCTATGAAACACCCGCGGACGCGTCCGCGCATCCGCGGGGCCGAGCTTGGAGGGCGGACGTATTTACGGCCGCCTCCTCGGCCTCCCGGGTCCGCGACGCGGACCCGATTTTACCAGATTTTTCGTGAATTAAATATTAGCCAAAAA